GTATAGTCTTCAAGATGTATCTGTACGCATTCTACAAATAATAAATCAAAGTAAAAAAAAATAATTTTAGCTTATTAGCTTTGCCCCTATAAGTTTGGGCAGGGACACCGCAACAGCTTTAGCCCATTACTGCGGACCCTGTACTCTCACACTCACTACCTCTACATTAAATATTTTAGTACACAATGCTCCTCAAATGTTGATGTTTGCTGAGGGAGGAAAACCAGAGGACCCGGAGAAAAACCCTTGTGGCAAGGGAGAGAACAACACATCAAACAAACTCTGCAAACATGATCCCAGGAATTGAACCTAGACTCAACAGTTTAAATTTATCACTTTTTATCAGGCTGAGAGTGTTTCAGGAGAACATGATGCAGTTCTGACGCTGGGTTTAACCCTTGTTCATATCTCTCTTATCTAAAGAGTGTTTGATTCAATTTGTAAAGCCTTACCTTCAGCAGTTTGTCCAGGCACTTTGAGGTAGTCTGCAAGTGTCTTCTTGTATAATGTGTGACAATTCTGAAAAACATTTTGTCAAATGTGTATTAAATACTGTCTAAGATGTCTAAGAAAGTATGTTTTAACAATAAACAAAGTATAAAGTGAAGATTTCCTCAGTTTAGCTTAGTTCCTGTGAAATTCAGTTTACAATCTTAGACAAAAAGGTTGAGAATAACAACATCGTTCAGGTCAGTTCAACAGAACATCCTCTCTACCCCCTCCCCTCCCCCAAAACAGTGTTGTTAGCACTCAAACAGAATCCAGCAGGTACAATTATTATGTGTGCTATCTAAAACACAACTTTGAGCAAAGGGAGGCAGGGGGAGGGCAGGAAGAAATAAAAAGTATACRGAGACATTCAACATTCAACTGTTTTTGTCCAGGATCAACTGAAGAGCACAAATCATGTATATCCTGTAAGATGCAAGTTGAGGTAGAATTGTGTAAGAAAATGTACCTGTGAGTGTTTGACTTTAGATTGCAATTGATACGAGAAATGGAACAAGCATTTCCATTGGATATCAAAATTAACTTACTGTGTTATAAGCTGTCAAACCCTGGATAATCAAGACAGAGCGTGACAACTGAGGAACATGGTCCAATGAGTGGCAAATATCTCTACCTTTGGTGTGGTGACTGAAATACAAAACAGATCATGGTACAATTAATAATAATATGAAAAGTGATAGTTTTTAGGAAACAACATGGGACTTCATATAAAAGTAGGTCATTTCATCAACCAGACAATGAAAAATCATTACACACCATAATTCAAATGAATAGACTGAAATAATTAGAAGATTTACCAAGTTTGAGTACAATTAATCCATTGAAAATTCAAAACTTATAATAGGTCACTTGCATGATGGCATAACTTTACTACAACTTCAAGGGAGCCTTGCACATTTGCATTGTTATTCAGATTTTTAATCCCCTTGGAGATTAATAAAACAATTGGCACTAATTGCATTACAAAAGAAAGTTGGCAAAGCATTCTGGTAGTTGTAGTAAATGACGCCATAATGCAAATTGGCTATTATAAAATACAGCACTTCTAAGAGAACCAATTATTAAAAAAAATGTACATGTACTGTAAAGTTGTCACCTCTCTGACACCCACCATACATTTCTAATGCCTTTTCAATTTTCAACAAATATTTGTTTGGCAATGTTTCCACATTTAAACAAAAACACTTTCATGATTATCATAAATGGTACAGAGTACTTCTCCCTCAATACTCCAGTTTCGAATTCAAAGCGAATAATTGCTGTTTTATTTGACAGCAGATTCTCTTACGCAAAGAACTTACCAAACACAAAAGAAAGCAAGAGAAAATGTTGCCTGTACAATAGCGCTAACAATTTACATTTTCCCCGAGTTGAGGCTAACCCTGTATTCCCAGAAGTCTCTTACCTTAGGTCTCATGGGAATACAGGGTTAGTCTCAACTCGGGGAAAATGCAAATTTTGAAGTCTATTGTAATAACGACATTTTCTCGTGCTCTCTTTTGTGTTTGTAAGGTCTTTACGCAAGAGAATCTGTTGTCAAATAAAGCAGCGGTTTTTCACTATGAATTCGAAACTGGAGTATTCTAAAAACTTGGCTATTGCGTTGTCAGATAGTCAGGGCTTACTTTCTTATATTTTCAGCAAATTCGTCAGCAGACCAAACAATGCCAYRTGTTGGTTTAGCTATTCTATTATTATTCACATTCTGACGATTAGCATTTCTTGTAAAGTCAGAAAATGTCATCAARTTTCTTTCTCTGCCTGAAAGAACATAAAGCTCATTGTAGAATGCGCCTTAAAATTTATTATTTTGTGTGAAAGTTTTATGGTTAATAATAAAAGAACAGTCTTGATACAAAATAGTTTTAATTGATGATCTATTTTACATAGTATCAGTGTCAAAATTGTGAGTAAAATATGCAGAAATTTAGATAAACTTGTAAGATTTTCAGTTTTCTATACTCTCCTTTGATTGCATAATGTTACTTTGACTATAAAAGAATGTATTACCTGGTTTGTATAGGTAATAGCATGTTTTGTAGTGGTATTTGGTAAAAATACCACGTGTGATATTTCAAAATTGTCAAACAAAATTTTTTGCTGTTATTTGTTTATGAAATGGTTGAATGAAATTGTGCAATTTGAAATACCACTTTTAAGGATAAATACCACTCCTCAAAGCCAATCAAATTGCACAATTTTATTCAACCATATTATAAAAAGGCTAATACAGTGTAAAGTGGAGATCACTTATAATGAGTTAACTATGGAATGATTATTTTATTATAATGTATTAATGTAAAAAATACTTTTTGAGGACAAGTTTAACTTCACCTGCTCGTTGGTACTGTGTTGCAAGATGAGTAAGGTGGCATAGCCACTCCACAGTTTTCAGCCATGATGGAGTACGGTTCACAAAAAAACTTTCTTCGAGCAACAAACGATCCAATTTACCCTTGGAAATTAAACATGAGATTGGATTACAACAGTGCTAAACAATTCTTAAATTCAAATGTCTTTTCAATTTTAATAATTACACTTAATTCCATTACATTTACCAAACCATAAAATATAAAATATGAATTATAAAATATGCTATGGATGATGTTGAACTGCATGTTTTACCTGCAAGAATCCTTCTATTTCAGGACCAGGTCTTCCATTGAGTTCTTTAGGYGAGCCCTCTACCAGATATAACAGGTTTTGGATGCCAGAATACTACAATCAGTCAATTTATGATTAATGATCAAATCTCTTCAAAGACAATCATGACACTCAATACTGTACCTTCATTCTTTGGACCTGGTTCTCGAATCGTGGAGATCTTATACTGGTCCACAAATCATCCCATGTCTTTCTTTCAACAAGGAAAGGAAGCACCTGTCAAGAAAAACAAGAAAATAGATGAAAACATGAGCCAAACTTACCATAAATTAATAATAATAATAAACTTAAAAGTTCTTTGGCCTGCTGCAGTTTTGAATAGTGGAATCTGTAGATTATCAATGTTCCGCGTGTGTCGGGTGTGGATTCCAAGCAACATTAGAAATGTTGGATATTTTGAACTTTTAGAGTGGTTTTCATTAAYCTGTGAAACACACTATAGCGTATTTATCGCTATTACACTTTGGCTCTTTTGTTTTTTATTGTCTCTACGCGACTATTACGATCTATTACACTCTAATTATTACACTTTGTTTCACGGGTTTATGAAAACCACTCTATGCTCTGATTCTCCATTATCTTTCGAACTTAAAGCAGATAACCAGTTTTATTTGACAGCAGATTTTCTTATGCAAAGACCTCACCAAACACAAAAGAAAGCACATAAGAAAATGTTGGAAGTACAATACACGACTTTCAAAAATGGCGCCAGTTCACGTCCGCCTATATTGGGGACTAGTGACGAATCATGGAAACGAGACCTCAAAGGCCTTCCATTAAGAAATCACTACGAAGATCGTATGTAGGCAGTGTCCAAAAGTTTGAAAGATGTATTGGTATGTTATTTATAACAAAACACTCTTGCAAGCCACTATGGAAGCTCACTATACGGAGGCTGGCCTTTGGGACCTCGTTTTAGTGCTTCGTCCCCAGTGCCCTGGTCGGCGACCGTGACACATCGCGCCATTTTTGAAAGTCGTGTATATCACTAATAATTTACATTTTGCACAAGTTGAGGCTAACCCTGTATTGCCAGAGGGTTTAATCCTGAGCTCTTTTGGGAATACAGGGTTAGTCTCAACTCAGAGAAAATGCAAATTTTCAAGACTTTTGTAAGGGACATTTTCTTGTGCTTTCTTTTGTTTTTGGTAAGTTTTTTTTTTTGCGAATGAGAATCTCTTGTCAAGTAAAGCAGTGTTTTTTTTTGCTTTAAAGTTGAACATGGAGTATCACTACCTCTTATTTTCCCTCTAGCTATTTATACAGGGTTCGTACAGATTTGTACATATAAAATTCAAGGACTTTTCAAGGATTAATTTTCAATTTTCAAGGACACCAATTACAAAGAGAAAGATACATTTAATAAACTTACTAGTCCGGTGTCTTACTAAACAGAACAATAAAAACATTGTAGTCAACTTTGTTTAAGAACTTTATCTCTTGGAACATACTTTTCTCAATCTCTATTAATTTCTTTGCCGCTGTATTGCACAATAGTACAACAGACATTGCCAAAAGGATTGAAATATTATCAATTTGCTATAAAAGCTTGGCAAAATTGATCTCTAAAACATTACTTCACAACAACCAAGACTGATTCAAGGACTAAATTATCATTTTCAATGACCTTTCCTCCAACTTCAAGGACTTTTCAATTTCAAGGAAAATTTGCATATTTTAAGGACTTTTCAAGGACCTAGCTCCAAAATCAAGGACTTTTCAAGACTGTACGAACCCTGTTATAGCAATTTTAACTCACCAATTCCTGGCCAGGCATTTCATTAGCAGAATTTGCTTGCRCACCAGGGGGGAGCAGTATCCAACAGAAGTCCCCACTGGGTAACTTCCTGACTTGAACAGATAATCCTCTGTCTTGTGCATACTTTACGAATCTGTCCTTCTGTGGTTCTTCGGTATCAACAAGAAGACAAACTTGTCTATTGTATAACACAGGATTCCTAACAACTTCGGGAACAGTTGGCACTGATGCCTGAAGTAAGAGGTTCTTTACAGCAAAGTCAAAGTTGCTGCACTTGAGTGCTAAGCCTTGTCCTGACTGCTGAAGGCTGTATCTGTAGAGAATGGCATTGAATAGACTTGGTTATTTTGTCGTAATCAGGGAGAAAGGCAATTGTCTAACTCACTTGGGTGTCCTTGCAGCTTCTTTTAGTACAATTTCATTTTTGATGAGAGCATTTTCCAGAGAGTCAAAGCCA